CGTCGTCTCCTTCCTCTGAGGTTTCGCCTGGCTCTTCTTTCTCTGAGGTTTCGCCATGGAGGAGAATTTTGAAACCCTAGAAAGAGAGAGGAGGGAGAATTGGGGGATTTTTGGGGAGGGCGGGCGGAGTGGAAATGGGGATTTGAAATTTCGGTAGTGTGAAATCTGAGCGGGGGGGTTGGGTTTGGGTTTGGGTTGAGATTCTGTGTGCGGGGTCTTGAGATTTTCAACGGTGGTTAGAAGAGAGAGGTGGGTCGGAGCTGGGATTGTCTCAGCCGTTAGATTATAGTAGATTTGAACTGACTGGGGTCAAGACTTAAGATGCGGATTTAGACGTGGAAGTCTGGTTTTTTGGTTCCTAAGGGCCTGTTTGGATTTGTAGGGGGTGAAGGGAAGTTAAGGAAAACTGAGTGAAGAGAAGGGAAGAGAAGGGAAAGGAATTCTCTTCCCCTTGGAGGTGAATGGTTCCCCTAACTTCCCTTCACTCTCATTCCCCTCAATCCAAACAAGCCTTGTTTTGGCCTTTGACTAATTTAGTTGGGACCACCTCCCCTAAGCTCCAAAACTAGACTAGATATGTTTATATTTCTTTTTAGATGATGTTTGTTTGTCTAAAAAAAAGGGAAATTAAAGAATAGGATAATTGTTTCTAAGAAAAATTGTTTTGAGATTGTTTGGTTGGCTAAAAAAATAATGAAATCAAAGAATGGGAGATGAGCTGTCACATTATCATTGGATGATGTGGGTGATTTTTTAAGAAAATTTGTTTTGATGTTGTTTGGTTGGCTAAAAAAATAAATTATAAGAAACATATTTCCTTTAATAGGTTCTTTTCTTATGTTTGGTTCCTTCATAAAAATAAAAAAAATAGATGAGATGAGATGAGTTGTCATTATATTATTGAATGATATGACCCACACTTAAGAAAATCGATTTTTTAGTTTTTTTGGAGGGAATGGGTGGAAATGAAATGTTAATGAGATGAGATAAGTTGTCGCCATATTATTGGATGATAATTTTAAAAAATGAGATGTGTTGGATGATGTGATCCATTTCTTGTGTTTGGTTTATTTTTAGTAGATGATATGAGATGAGTTGTGAGATGGAAATAATATTTTTATTGGATGTTGTTGTGAGTTTTAGGGATGAAACTGGATGAAAATAATATTTTTTTGATTTCCATGTACCCTTTTCATTTTTTTTTATTTTTAGGAAACCAACCAAACAACCTCTTATTGGAAAAAACTAAATAGGTTCATTGAGGGCAGAAAAATTATAAAAAAAAACTAAATAAGTTCATCACAGGCAAAAAATTAAACTTCAAAAAAAGTTAAAAGTATGCTCTTGTTTTTTTGCCAAATAGAATTTTAGTTCAACGTGATTAATTCCGCTAACATAAGAAGATGAGAGTAAAGGAAGAGACGATTTGATATATGATGGTGCGATCTGATGATCATCATCATCATTGGAGGAAAAGATAATAGATAAAAAAAGAGTTTAAAAATAAAAATATATATAAAAACTTTACTTCTCTACCGTCTAGTGGAGAGTCTAGTTCTCCACTAAAAGCTGAGAAGTTTTGAGAGACTGAAACTCATATGACAAAAGTGAGATAATTTTACGATTATCTTGTTTCTATTTTTGATATAGTTCTACTTGACTAATACTTTAAATTTATAACTTAGTTGTAGTGCTAGTTGCCTAGCATTATAAGAATCTATTCTACTAATTGTTTCGGTTCTACTTTTAAGTTCCACTTGACTAGTCCACTTGAACTTGAAGTTTGTTTTTGGTTCTAAGACTGTTCGATGTCAACTGTAATTGTTGTGGTTATTGTTAATATAAGGAACCGTTGTAGAGTTGTGGTTATGTAGAGTACTTTTTCCCACAATCTGTGTAATAATATTTTAGTTAAGGAAATCTTAAAATAGATTGATCAGAATGCTATTGATGTTGTTGGGGTGGAGAATAAGAGGCTTATTTTGAGAACGAGACTAGCTTGTGAAAGTTTATGTGATTCCTACAAGTAGATGATATGTGTTTAGAAAAAACAATTTGGGCATTTTGACAAATTCTGGGCGAACCCCCATGTTAAAAATAATTGCCTATAACTGAAATATATATTTAATGTGGATACCTAACATGTGAAAATGTGTCAAGAGTAAGTATATGTTGATTGCGGCTTGAATGATCTATAGTGATTTTCAAGGTGGCTATTATAGATTAGACGGAAAAGGAATTGCTTCCACTCTTGATGATAGAAAATACAAGTCTAAGGTATGTCAACTGTAATACGATGCGTTGGAGAAAGTATCAAATAAACTTGATTCATTATATTAAATCCGCACCAAAGGTATGCTGACTATTTGATCCTAAGCATAAATTTTGAAATCCAATGATACAAGATGAATATTTGTTTGGTGCATGCTTAATGCCGGGAACCTTGGTCCATTTTGACTCTGAAAATCCTTTTGGAGGGGTGGAGATTTTGCTCACACTGTAGTGTTATGTCAACAATGGTGCAACTGAGAATACATCCTAACAATGTGATCATATCCAGTGTAATTTTTGTTTTGGATCAATGTAACAAATAAATCTCTACAAATAAGAATTCTATCAGAACCGTTTCTACTGGGATGGAGTGGTTTGCATCATAGCTGGAAAGACCTATGAATGGTATAAAATTTTCTTCTCCATGAGGGTATTCTGATAGAATATGCACTCAACCTGCATACAACACATGTAGACCCGAGTCAAAGTTTATAAAATAATTTACTTTGACAAAGAATGTGAGGGGTAAAATTCATTCCACCTTAGTAAGCGTATAACCTAACAAAATCTACGAGGATGAGATTTTCATACCTGGTAGAATATGCGAAGCATGTTTAGATGAGTATAAGGAAATGTGTTTGGATTCATATAATTAATTCTCATTTACCAGTTAAGTCTGGTAGATTTGTGGCACTCTGATAAGTACGGGGCTATCCTTACAAGTTGTGGTCAACGCAGGGACCTACACTAAAATCTTCCCGATTTCCGAAAAAATAACGATCTCACAAGTCTCCTGCTCTATTTTTATCGGTTGCGCGCAAGGATCGAAGTTTCAAACCACAAAGAGCGAGATTTGTCTTTAGGGAGCATGCAAAGCATGAAG